GGTCGAATTCGATTAAGGTTTGTTGAAATGTAGATCAAGCTCTTTTATAAATGTTTGGTTGTATTTGTACAATGTCTGACCAATGATCAACCGTCGATGAGACGATCTAAATCAACATAACAAGATTATGCAAAGTAAATTGATTTGGAATCAAAGTTCGAACAATGCAGCGATTAAAATCTGTTATTCATTGATACAACCAACAAAGGAAACAATATTCAAGCTATAGGAGCGGCGGAGCGTCTTTCAAAGTGTGATCTTGAAAGCATTCGATTATTTAATGAAGTTGTCTCATCGTCCGATTTGTTTTTATTAGCATTTGAAATTGGAGATCCCTCCATCGAAAAGTTCTAGCCGATAGGCACATTCCGATTACCTAGCGTCAACACAGGGGCGGATCTAGCCGGCGTCGAGGGTGGGGGCCCCAATTGGTGAGAAAATTTTTAGCGACAAGCGGGAGGGGGGGGGGGCATAGTGAGCATTAGTTTTTTTTTTTTTTTTACTCCTTGAGCAAAAAACAAAAAGGTAAGATTGTGGTTACCATCTTTATTTTTATTTTTTTCCTGGGGGTTGGGGGCAATCATTTTCGTTTTCTTCTTATAAGATAAAAACTTAACCTACCATCTTTTCTTGCCAGGGGTCGGGCCTGGGCCCCCCCCCCCCGTGCCCCACCCCCTTGGATCCACCCCTGTGTCAATATCTGACAATCAGGAATCCGTCTCATGCCCTTCCTTTGTTCCCTTGAAGTTCTGGCATGTCCATTTGAGCCTGCATTTGAGGGCAAGCTATTTAGGGTGGGGCCTAAAGACGTATAAATAAATAACATTTCTTAAAGGGGCACACTTTGTTCTTATGAAATTTGGGCTTTATGCCCCTGCCTCCGGCCCCTTTTACATTGTGGTAATAAAAAATGAAGTAGGGTACCTGATACTACACAAAGTTGATGAAGAATTTTAGAAGGCTTTTTGGATGACTGTAAAAAGGTCACATTTACATTCTCAACCTTTTGCGTAATTACGGTAGATAATCAGGTTCAGTCCCACTGCTCATATCCTTGAATTAAATGCTTTGAAGCATTAAAACTTTTAATTGCATACTGCCCAGAGAAATTAACTACGTGTTGAACCACATGAAATAACAAACAAAAAAGAGTTTTACTTTGATACAGCCATATTTCTCTTTTAATTTTCCTCTTTGTTAAACTGCTACAATACAATAATTTGGCAGCACAAGACTACATTTACCATACTAGCACATATAAGATCCATGCACGTTCATATTTGCAATCCTACACACAAATATAATATATGTTCAGTCATAACATACACATCTTTTACTACATCAATGTTCTATAGATCATCAATTATTTGTCATGGAAAATGGAAAATATTCATCATTTGTTCCACTTATACAATTTTAATTTGATGTTTATAAATCAAAATTCTAAATGGCCTTCAGAGCCAGAATCAATAATGGATCGATGTCATGCTCATTAAACAATCTCATCTTTAATCAAATAATTCCTTTGCATTCCATACTAGTATGACAAAAACAAGGTATTAACATTAAATTCCACAACTCATAATTATAATCTATCTGCTCCATAAAACTTTGATATCTTTCCAATATCATTTCACTTATCCTGGAAATAATAGTTGAGGAATAAATGATGAACGTATTTTTCTGAAGGATCACTGATGTTTTTGATTCACTGCTGTGGTGATATCTTCTTCATGAACAAAGGCACTCTATTCCGGATAAAAACATGATAAAAACATATTTGTTACAAGTACGATTACTGCATAAATAATTCTGCTAATAGCATGGAAGAGGCTCATATTGTCCGGAATCTGGTTTTATGAAGAAGGAACCAAGGCCTATCAAAATCAATGACAAGATATAAAGTAACCCAAAGTAAACTCTTGAGGTCATCAAAGCACATACCTTATTTGGTGATAAACTTACTGTTTATTCTCTCACAATGGATTTCAGAATTTAAGTTCAAATAATAATGGAGTGGCCATGACCAACTTGTGTTCTATGCATATTTGCATGGATTACAATATTGGGAAATTTGGTAACTGCAAGAGAGATACAAGCATTAAAGCAGAGTCTAAATGAACAATCAAATCAAAACTACTTTCTGAACAAATACCTCCATCATGCATGCTGAAGAGAAGGTGGTTGTCTTGTGAAAAAGCTTTGTACAGCCCATGAGCAGATAGATATGGTAATAAAAATAAATCAGATAAAAGTAAAACTTCAACATACATTTTGGAATGGTTTCACCATAGCAAGTTATACTGATTTGCTTCACCATACAAATACAATCTTCATACTACATATTAATGTCGACTCTACTCTAAAACATGAACAAATTCCAAGATAGATAATCATATAATAGACTCTTTTCAATTCATTCCATTCAAAATCATTGCTCCTTCAACTCTGATAAAGAATATTAGTCATCTAAAATCAGATTTGATTTACTGTCACCAAGTGTTGTTATCCTGTACACTAACAGTGGAAAACCAATTCCTGTTGTTCTCTCACTAAATAAATCTAACCCAATCTTACTAAATAAAGACATAAACAAGAATAAAAGAAAAGAACATATAAATTTAGAGCGTAAGTAGCTAGCCATCCTTCACCATCTGATATATACCAATGTGTTAAAATAACAAAGCAAGAGAAAAGGCATTATATAGAAAGAAGATTACGCAAACTGCATAAAATCATGATATTAATATGTTAAAATCAAACTAATAACTAGTTAATGCCACATTACACAAATCACATTTTATCCTCTCTAAGAAATAAAATAGCTATAGATAGAAATAAGATTCAAACAAAAGGAATTTATGGCTATGCCAAATTGACTTAATTTTAGCATTATAAATAAAATGCATTGTCATATTATTGTCTTTGTTATCTTCTTTCAAACTCTAGATATTTATCTTTTAAACAAATGTACTCTTAAACATTGTCATTTAGTCATTAATTCAATGAAAATCATTAATTACCTGAAAATTGATGACTTAGGCCTTTCACTTCTGACACGACAGAACACTATACATTTCCATTTTTAAACAGGAGAACGCAACAGATAAATAACACACAGGTTACTCCATGATAACCCTGTAACCAAGATGTAAAAACAAACATCCGACCTCGCAACACAAGTTTGTGAGGTTGTGATAATTGTTACTTACTTTTAAGTACAAATTAGGTTATATGCTATAAAAATAGGAGATAATCAGCGGTAATGTAAGTGGCTAGTAACATAGAAAATGGAATGTTTTACCTACTTTGTTAAGTTCAAGAGCCATTCTAAAGAGCAAATGTTTGCAATTTGCTGATTATGTAAATCTACAGTGATGTAATCATGGGAAACGCTACAAAATGACACTACTTACAAGTCACTCGATTTCACAGACACTTCCTTTTTAATCAGGAAAAGTGGATAACTCGCTCTTTTTCTTGTAGAGTATGACAAAATCGGTACAGATCAGCGAGCGCTTTCAGCTCAACGAACGAGCAGTATCTGTGAGCAGTGCACAAAACCACAAGACATATATACATGTTCTCATTTTACAAATCCTTGTAAATGTATATACAGCAAGAAAAGAGAGTCATCCATTATATCTCCACAATTACATCACTTTGAAATAATCCTTCTCAATCTTGGCAAAAGGGTGACACTCATGTTGTGTAAGTACAGTAAAAAGAAGCTATCTAACAAAGGGGGAAAAAAAGAGAATTCTCAATTGGTTCTTTACACGACATGCAAACTTCCTATTCACAAATGGCGATGAGTCACTAGATAAATCCCAAAGAGACAACAGAAGAAAAGAAATGTTGAAGATACATACTGCCCAATTCCATTTCACACATTATTCCTTTACAAAATGATTAATTCATTCTGAAACATTAGATGTCTGAAAAGGGGAGCAATTGGCTCAACTTTGGGCTTTTTTAACAAACCTTTTTGAAATTATTTTATGCAATTAAATGTTTTTGTGTATTTATTATTATCCCTTTAAAAAATACATTATTTGTGTTGTTGTTGCAAATGCAAGATCAAATAACCAACATATTGACCCATAAATTGACATATTTCTGCAATCTTTGTCTTCTCCATGTTCAACCAAACAGTCCTGTTTCCTCAATTCCATCCATCCTTGCATACTTCCCTCTCCAACTATCTTTGGTTTGACCGATTGCTTGTGAATACCTTCAAGTCGTCTTTGACATGAGATCTATTTAGTACGACTATCATCGTCATTTCAATATACTCTCACATCACATCTAGCACAATACAAGGGAAGGGGCACTACACATAAGGTTATTCTTCTGGTAGAAAAACTGATACATGGACATTCATTACAGAAAGTTATAAATGAGAACTCCATGAATGGAGTTTGAATGATGTATAAGGAGTTCACTACCAAAACAAATATTCACTGGTTGTTCTCACTGCTGCATGTTCTTACCCTTCACAGGGAGTACAGCACTCAATTAGGTGCGCACTTCTCAGTAACTATCAGTACTCATGCACAGTAGCGTTTGTAGCACAAGATAATGCAGCAGTGAGAACACCACTTGAGTCAGTGTTAGGAAAGAGATGTTTATGAAATAAGGAGGTAGAGTCTGATTCACATGCATTTTTCATTGAAATGGCAGGCAGGCAGGTTCATGAAGTTATTTATCAATTACATTGGCTTTGATCGAGCAAATTATTTCACTACAATGTCATAAACGGAAATTAATACATGTATGGACAAATACAAAATAGACAAGTATCGGTCCCAGCATATACCCCTGTGGGACTACCAGTATCTTCCAGACACACCTTGGACAGATCATTGTTCGTTCATGTCTTGGCAAAAAGCGAGAAAAAGTTGGTAAAATTTTGCAGACCAGAGCAAATTTTGTCATAAATGTACAGGAATGTGGAGAAGCTGAAATGATTTTAAGGCAGTGAATTATTATTCAAATTATTTTTTGGTGTAATTCATTTAAAGACATATAATTTTGCCATCAATTCATTTCTTTTAGAATATGTGAGATCTACTAGTTGATATGAACAAAATCAAATTCCTATCAATGTACGGTTAGGTTCTGGTCAGTGCGTTGGGAAGTGCACGATAAGTTGTCGTTTCTTCAATGAAACTTAGGTGGAAGCTCATTGGATGCAATGAAAACAGAATCATTTTAATTCACAAATTGTGACATGTTAAAAGAAAAAAAAGTCACAAATTTGAAACTAATACGAATAAAATAAAATGCTACAATTTTCTTTCATGTCTGGATATATATTCTGGAATTGATCGGTGATAAGAGAGAAAAAAAATAAAAGAAATCATCAAAACTTGTTTCTATAATCTAAACTGACTTTAAAATTTGACCTTTCTTTTTCAATGTCTCTTTAGTCATCTCTGGGATATTATTTTGAATTAACACATATACAGGCTAGGACAAAATGAAAACAGTTTAGCATCTCTCAATCACATGTCACTTTCCTTCCAAGTCCATCATATATATTCTTCCAAAGACCATCGTCTCCAGAAACATGATATTCCATATTTTCAGAGTGCCTAAATCTGGCCCGTATACTACATATAAGTACAGTATCATAATAAACTATCCCTACAATTGATATGTGTCAAGCATGCATGCAGTAGTATCTACAAATCAACAAGGTTTTGGCTGTTGTGTATATGAGTTGCATTGTATCGTTTGTTGAGGGGGCTGGTGCTGTATCAACATGGCGTGCGGGAATACTGGGTCAACTATACACCTGTACCATCGGCTTGCTTCGTCTGTATGAGGAGAGAAAGGAGAGAGAGGAGAGAGAGAGAGAGAGAGAGAGCAAGAAGGGGAGAGAGAAAGAAGGAGAGAGAGAAAGAAGGGGAGAGAGAAAGAAGGGGAGAGAGAGAAAGAAGGGGAGAGAGAGAAAGAAGGGGAGAGAGAGAAAGAAGGAGAGATGAAGAGACAGGAGAAGGAAAAGGACAGAAGAGGGGGAAATAATGAAAAGAGATAAAATACAAATTTATTAATTTTATCCATCATACAAGCATATAAAGGAATGGGATATATGACAAATTCATCTGGGAATTTATGAATCCTGAAGAGTTACAAGTATGTGTATATATATATACAAAAACCAAGATTAATACACAGTATATTATCATTATAAATAATCCTACAAAACTCCATCTGCATATGTACAACTCACTCAAGTATGGCAGTCCAGCATTGCATTCATTCAACAGCAAGTTGTGTTGCTTTGGCCACAAACTTTACACAAAGTGATATTTGTTCATCTTGCAGGGATATCTCATGGTTGACATGAAGTACATTTAAAGTATCTAAAGAAGGAGAAGACTCCATGCCCTTAAGTGATGGTCATGAAACCTCAAGGAATTAAAAATGTTCCTATTGTCAACATTTGGAGTTTATTAGAGTTATTATCTAGGTAGGTGGAACTAGAATTTTGGAAGTTACACCAGCAAAGCACTTAATTCAGATTATCTTTTTTTCCTTCAAATGTGTGATAAAATAATATATGCATAATGATGATTTGAAAAATTTGATAAGGGAAGTCACAACTTGTATCATGACAAGAATTTCTCAGAATATATTATACATAAGTTGCCAAGACTATGAAATATGATTATGAACACAAGGCAAACAAATAGAAAAGAACTAAATCTGAACATACAAAACAAAAAAGTGGTAAAAAGTTCATTAATTACCAGTATCAAAAGATCGTTCTCATCAAATGTTACTTTAAGACACATTTTGATTGTTTTCTATTGTTGTCGATTAGGTTTCTACATTCCTATATTTCTGTTTAATTTATCATGAACTTAATGATGCCCAATAATTTGGGAAATAAATTAGGAAGTACCGATAAAGAAAATTTAATGGAAAGTCTGACTGTGGGATTTATAGTACTGAAATTAAGTGATTAATTTCCTCATTTCTATTTCTCTTCTATAGTATTCCTACAAATGATCAGTTATTTTAGTTAAGACAATTCCAACTTGTCATCAAGTACAAATTTTCAGGGAATTGTTGTGATTTTGAAAGAATTTTTTACCCGTAAAGAAAAAATACAATTGAAGAAAAAAGACTTGCTAGTGACATCAAATGTAATTCTTTGTAGAATGGTACGGTACCATAGAGAAATTCAAATACTGTAAAAAGGCTTCGCACCTATTACACAATTCTATGGTATTAGAAGCCAGTAACTCTTGAATATTGGTAAATATTAATTGAAATATGATATCATTCATGCTCACAGCACATGTTGAGAGAATTTAAAAAAAACCTAATATAAATATATGAATCTGCTTAACTTGACATAGATGTGCCATGAGTAGTATTAACAATTATTTTGTACTCATCACAGCTAACAAAAAATGATGTATCATGGAGTCTTTTTTATGTTCAACTAAAAACCTCCAACACTATGAAAATTTGTTTAACGATGTTATTCTAAATTTGTGAATTGGTATGGAGTGAAAAAGATTTTAGTATTTTTTCAGAGTCTACTGACTGATAAAAGAGAACTACATGCAGGTGCAGCATGTCAAGTAAATCACTCAATATGAAACAAAGAAATAAATGATAACAACGTTAGTCAAATAAAGACATTCATAAAAGTACTATATTATATTCGCAAAGGAAAGAAAATAGAAAAATGCATTCAAGTACAGAACCCAAAGAACCCAAAGTGCATAAAATTGTGAAACAATATATTTTCTTGAGAGGGCAATCAGAAATTGAAATCTACCATCCAAAGTGAACAATAAAATAAAAGAGAACTATCAAAGGTCCAATCTTAGAACCAAAAATGAATAGTGATAATACCAACAAAAAATATATAATAAATAAATAAAGTACCATATGTGCCACTTTTCTGGAACCTTGAAACTATTTCACCATACCTAAACATATCATAATACAATTTTATATAAAATATTAAAGTCAAGGTAATCAATGAGATATTTTAGATTCATGACTAAAGATAGTCCTGTTAATTTGTATAGTGTAATGATCACCTTATGATTTCCTCTTTAATCTTGCTTTGTCAATATGGATCTGTTACTTTTTTAAATGTCCGTGCTTGTGAACCTCTTTAAAAATCAACTTAATAATGGAAATCCATCACATATCTTGAAATTAAATATTAAAAAAAATTAGGATATAAAATCTGGCAATAATATGAAATTATGCACAAAACATTTTCTGAATATCGGAATTTTAATTTTTTTCACTTTGCATATCAATGTAAATAGAACAAGTATTTTCCAATAACCTTCACCGTGCCACATTTAACCATTTTATCCCCAGTTTTTCTTTTTAACCAATGCGCCAACCAGAAACGTATGCTAGCATGCAGTTGTATTCCTGTTCAGAATAACTTTTGCTAAAATGGAATCTGAATATTTCAATGTCATTTCAATGATGGTGTTGTTATTGTTGTTGATGGTGATCATAATGAAGATGATGATGATGATGATGATGATGATGACGATGACGACGACGATGACAACTTTTTTAATGGTGATGGTGGTGGTTTCAAAGGAATTCCAATTTTGCATAGCATGATGTGACAGATCATGACCATTGCCACCCATTTATGGGAAGAGGATGATAAGGTTTTAAATAATTTTTAACAAACAAAAACAAAAAAAAATGTACAGAACGTGTACCTCCTCATTTGCTGCATCTGCTAGTTGCAATTCTACTTGGCTTTCTGTCAATGAAGTACTGCCTTCGGCCTGTTTGGACTGGGTAAGGTAAGGCAAGAAATAAAGAAAAAAAGAAAAAAAGAAAAATAGAATCCCCCGAAATAAAGCTAAAATAAAGCTAAACTATAAGCTAAAATAAAGCTAAACTATAAGCTAAACTAAAGCTAAACTAAAGCTAAAATAAAGCTAAAATAAAGCTAAAAAAAGCTAAAAAATAAAGCTAAGCTAAATAAAGCTAAAAAATAAAGCTAAACAAAGCTAAGGTAAAGCTAAAATAAATGCAAGAACAGGCATAGGACAGAAAAGGCTTGTCTTTATTTTTCGATGAATAAGGTTTTTTCTTCAATAAAAAAAGAATGCTGCCCACAGAAGGAAACAAATTACTTCAAAAAGTATCATTAAAAATGCAAATGGAAATGGTTTATCAAGATATATCATTTTACTGAAGTGACAGGGAAATATATTTCATGCATGGTTTCTTGCACAGGTGATTCAACAGACAGAATTCATGACAAACACACAGATACACACAAACAAACAATCCATTCATGCAACACGGTTGGGTTTACATGAAGAGAAGCGACTTTCTTTATTTACAGGAAACACATGTATTTTTTTATCACAAAAGAGGGAAAACAATTCTTATAGTATTCTAAAAATTTCTGATATGACTTTAAATGGGTTGGAAATGGCTAGCTGATTAATTGTACAACTCTGCTTTTTGATCAAGACTTTTTTTTGTTGGTGAAAAGGAGTTTAAAACTTAAATCATGAGAAATGATGTTTGATGAAATGTCATTTTAAGCTTCAAATACAGGTAGTCAAATATAATCAGTGGCGTTAGCATGATCTAAGTAGTTGGGTAGGTAAGGTAGGAAGACATGTGGGTCCAAGTTAGTTCTATCTATAACAAGGTATTCAAACCAGCCTAAACCAGTGAAATCAATCAGTGATAGTTCATATCATAAGAATATACTTTTTTTGAAGGGATTAAGAGCTTTAGTATGAACATTTTCCCCCAAATATTAGCAGAGTTCACTTCATGTGAATATATGCCAAGTCCAGAAATGATCCCCTTATCACTTCAGCTTGATAAACCCATTCCATAGTACCTCGGCCTCAAATAAAAAACCCGCCCAAGATCTTGAATATTTTTCAATGAATGTGGACTAAAACCATTGCATTTGACTTTCTGAAAAAGATATGCATGAACTGTGAAGTTTACACACATAAAAGTTACAAATGTATGTCTGTATGACCATGGACCTATTACGAATGGACATTCATCGTTTTCTTAACAAATTCATTGTGATTGTCTCCGTCAATGTCGTCTCAATAACATTCCGTACATGTTTCTTCACTTTGATCTCATGATGGTCACCACCAATAAGCCGGGACAGAATCAAGATAGTGATTTTAAACATGTTAATCTACATGCGCAGAAGATAATAAATCGCTTAAATCATGCGAAATCAATGTGCAGTTCTGGTTAATAAATGGAAATTGTTGTTCCGTGTACTGTGTTCTATTTATGAAAAACATGTTGATATTACCAGACAGGTTTTGTTTGGATTGTTTGTGATTTAAAATCATGTTTTCCCCAATTTCCTCATAATATTCCAGAATTACAACGCACAGGGCTTATAAAGATCATGGCCTTCTAATTGTTTTATAAGGTCATTGGTGCGTGCAAAAGTGTGCAAATCAGTAATAATAAATTTCATATCATCAAAATCGTCTGCTTTTCAACTTTGCTGCTCCCCATTGGGGATGTTTTTATTGAAGACATACTCTTACAGAGCACACCATCCAAACAAAACCCAAGAGAGGTAAACTGCTCCTTTGTTAATGCCTGAAAATGCTTACGCAGTCGTTATTGTTAAAACAGTTGAATGTTCTCATTAAGATGCACATAATCAGAAGGTGGTGACTATCATTGGATCAAAGAAAGAATCATGTTGAATGTCCATCCGTAATAGGTCCATGGTATGACGAGCTGCTGAGGGGTCAAAATACTTTTTTCCTTCCTGCTTCCACTTTTCCAGAGATATCTTTTAAACTTGTATGACCTAAAATCGCTCTCAGACACTGTGGATTATTTTGCTGGCGAGTCCGAGTGCCGTCTACTCACCACTTCTTTGGCTGCACCATTCTGCATCTTGAGCTTAGCAACCGTTTCTTTCTCCGTGTTGAGGGCTGTCTGAGTCTTCTTTAACATGACCTGTAGCTTAGCAGCTGCCTTGCCTAGATCCTGGGTCAAGGACTTCTCTTTCTTGAGACTCTCATTTAAAGTTGTGAGTTCCTACAATCAAAACAGAATTGTCATGGGTAATTACCAATCTTCTTCGGTTAGCTACAAGCAGTTTCTAAATTTCTAAAAATACAACTGATGATTTTGAATTACTTTCTGGACTATCCTGACGTTAACTTATCATGTTTCATGGGTACTATAGAACGCACAGTACTCTCTACTCTGAAAATGAAAGAAGTAATTTGCAATTTATTTCGGAAACTTCCATAAACAGCTGAAATGCTAATATAGAACGCACAGTACTCAATACTCTGAAAATGAAAATTTCCATAAACAGCTGAAATGTTATTTATTTATTTTTTATTTCCAAACGTTAGAATATGAAAAACGAAAATGTCTATTGAAACTTATCATGGCTTCACAATTAATAATTCCATAGGAACCAATGGAACTACTATAGTAACGCACCTTCTGTTGGGCAGCAGCCTTCTCCTCAGCCTTGGCCAGCTTCTCCTTGGCTCCATCATCTCCTCCAGCTGGAGCTGCAGCTGCTGCCTCCTTCAAGGAGCTCACCTCCTTCTCTGCAGCCTCTGATCTGCTCTTGGCTTCAGCCAGCTGCTTCTGGAGTGCACTGACCCCTTCTCCTTGGCTCTCTGAGGATGCGACCTTGGACTGGAGGTCAGCTAGACTAGCCTTGGCTTGCTCTAGTTCAGCAGATACTCTCTTTACTTCGGCTTCAGATGAAGACAGTTTATTCTTGGTCTAGGTCAAGATAGAGAGTGTAACGTAAAACACATTGAGGCTCTTGGAGTTTCAAACATGACATGAAAATCACTAAACTTTAACAAAGACGTATTCTATTGATAGTTCACGATATCTTAATATGATGGATATTTTCGTCATGCGAGTCACACTTGCACAAGAGTTTATACAGAGCATGCAATAACATGAACCAGACAATCAAAATCTGCATTTAAGAAATTCTGTACAATTTAAAATAATGAATAATACTGAACATAAAAAGAGATAGTAATTATGAAATCCAGTAATAAATAAAATGCTTTACCCCCATAAAACAAAAATATTAACTGTACTTCCAAGTACTACAATACTTTGAAGGCATGCAATTACAGCGCCACATGCAACAAACATTACAAACTACGGGATAGGGATGCAAAAGCAAGATTTGGGAGACCATTGAAAGGGATCATTGAAAGGAAAGCTGAAGAACAGGTTTAATAGAATCAACTTTGTTCTGATAGACCTGTTCTGACGGACCTGTTCCATGATCTATCTTCAAGTAATGTTAGAGGTTTAAACATGTAGGTTAGTATTCTGATGATTTGGTTGATTCTAATCAGCTACCTCCTCAATTTTCTCCTCTTTGTCATGACTCTGTTCTACCCTCTGGTTGGCTGCTTCAAGCTGTTCTTTCAACTGATGAAGCTGTGCTTTCAGTGCTTCCAGCTCGTGGCTCGTTGTTTCGTAGCTTGATGCCGCTGACTCTTGGTCCCGTCTCAGTGTTTCTATCGTGGTCTGGGCCTCTTCAAGATCGGATGCTAACCTTGAATTTTCAGTGGTTTTCTGAAAATTATGGGACATTAAAAAATATTGATCTACTGACAGGAAATCCTTCACCAACAGATGGAATGGATTGAAAGAATTTGCTTTGCAAAGACCAAAATAAATAGCCACATAACACCACAAAACTACTAAAGCGGAGCAAGGTGTCTATTTTACATCCCTTACATGTCTTGTTTAACGGTTTTCCTTTAAATCAACACACATGGTCACATAGTACAGGTGAAATTTCATCAATAGTCAAGGTTCCAGTATTATGTCGATCTGTGTGGGTACTACAGCAAAAGATCATCCCACATACTTTGAGAAGATATCATGATTCAATCTCAGCAAATTTCTTTCTGTTTAACATCTCATCATTGATAATAATGAATTCATATAATGCTTTAGAAATTGGCTAGGTTACACAATGATATGCTCCATCCACTCACTTTAATAATGCAAACAAATGGCGATTTCCTAACCAACCATCTGCTTCCCTATAACAGCTAATCAATAATGAATGACCTACACCAGTTTCCCCACATACCTGACTCACACAAAAGGGAAATACATCCTCTAATACACAAGCACCCATGCAAAGGTATACAGGTTAATGAGTTATTATTATTATAAATGCAGATTAATCTTGATGGTGTATGACTTCATATTCTAAAAGGGTACTGATTTTGAATAATGGTTCTAGTTTATGATTCAATTTGGGAGTAATAAGCTTTTATCTAATGACGGGTTTTATGAAGACACTATTTCACTACTTCTATATAGTAATTTTGGCATTGGATAGAAACAAATGATTTTGGAAGTTTATTCAAAACAAATTACTTTACCTCCGTCGGTTTGATTCCCTTTTTCTTTGTCAATAATGAATTGAGGATTATAGAAAGAGAAATATGCAGCATTTAGTGAATTCTTTAACATACTGAATGAGAACAATCACCATACGCTTGATGCCATAGCCCAGCAGGTATATCCGATTACTTTTTTAAATAAATCACAGCAAGTTGTCCATGTGTGTACCACACTTCAAAAAGACCAATAACCAACACAACAATATCACAGCATTCCATCCAACCAACCCTACATGGAACCAGTCAAACCTGTCTATAAAGGCCATCCAATGAAAGCACTATTTATTGACCTCTATAGATAGATGGCCTTTCTAGACAGGTTCTACAATACACCTTTCTTATTAAAAGAGGGATCAACCACTTAATAGGCTGGTGGCCTTTATATAGAGGTGGCAACTAGATGTTGTCTATTAATGGTCCCCCGAGACACCACGTTCTGGTGTTAGATGAGCATGAGAAGATGTCAGTGGTGAAACATAATAAGAGCCTGACTGAATACAAGCTAGGGTAGGGATTCAATGCTCACCATGTATGGTATTTCATACCGTTCAGCAAGCTATTAACAAGAAATGGTGGGAATAATTTATCTCAATCTGTAGCCAAGAACCATAATTTCCTTTAATATATTGAGTTATGTATAATAGGTTGCTTTTAGTAGAGGGCAAAAGAACAGATATAGTTTGTCCTATAATACACACTACTGCTACACACAATGCAGTTAACATAATTATCCCCAAATTGTAGATTATTTACATATCATATACTCAGGAATCAGGGTAGCATAACATTATATACAAGTACATGATTGTTATGGATAACTAATTTTTTATCTGAAATGAAATATTGTTGCAAAATGCCGACATACCATTACCAGTGTATTAGATGTTAGTTTACTACACACTCCAACTCTCAATAATCCACATACCGGTAATCAGAATAATAGATTGAGAATTTTGTACAATCTTAAGCTCCTGATAAAGGAAAGTTCCTCTCATATTATCATGACAGCATATGGAATGAGATTTTTAGGGGGTAAAAATTGTCGTAATTGAACATGTTATCCTAGCAATATTTCATCTAACTTGTAAAACCATTCAACCTTTCAAGAAATCAATATATTTGATGGAAGATACCAAATCATTCAATCAGAGATATCTATGAAACATTCCCAAGAAGAAGAAGTGAAAGTTGAGACTTGAGAATGAGTTGTTATAAAGTTGAGACTGAATTGTTATAAAGTTGAGACTGAATTGTTATAAACAGAAACCTTCAGTACTACCAGGTTTCAAATATGCATCACAGATATATTCCTGCGATCAAGTTTTCAGAATAAGTGACCTTTTCTGTTGTTCATCTTGATGAAATTTGTTTTCTTGGTATTTACAATAAAAAGAAATGTTGAAACTCAAGAAAAATACCAGCTCTCCATTATCTCTATTTAATAGATACCCTATATACTTTGAAAAGGCTAAAAAAATCCCCTACAGCACTCTAGGGGTTAAATATATATCCATACAAAACTCAATTAGAGACTCCAGATGAGCATGCAATGATGAAATGAACATAGAGAGAGAGAGGGGGAACTTTGTAGGATAGTTTAGTTTTAAATCCATGATGTAATTTCAGAGAAGGAATACAAATACAAAATCAAAGGAAATCAAAAATTGAATGTGATTCTAAATAGATCATCAATTATTGTTAACTTCTTATTCATAAATTAATCCACTATAGAAAGAACCAACAAATCTTGACTACAATAACAAATAAATAAACCTGGGGCACTTCTAAACATGTTTAAAATTTGGTTCGAAAACACAAAATTGCTTGGTGGTCAATTTTCTACACTTCCATAATCCCCAATAAATCTTAGATCAACCGATATATGCACATTGCCTTACTCAAGACCTGACCTAAAACCAAACTACTGTTCAACCCTGACCCCTAACCCTTACTCTACAGCTTTGATGAAAACAACCCAGAGCACATGTTGGGTCATCTAAACACTGCAAGGTTCATGCGATAAGTTGCACATCACCCATATGAGTTTTGATTAAGACTTATCATTCCATCCATGATCTCACCTGTGATTGCGTTGAAGACAACGAAGCCAATTCTTCTTGTAATGAGTTTACTTCAGATTTAGCCTTCAAGAATGAAGATGAGGAGGAGAGGAGGGTAAAGGAAGGGATAAACCATTGCAAAGCACACAAGCAAATTAATAAGAGGACACTCACTGCAGCTAGTAGAGATCATATTAATGCATGCAAACATACATAGATAACACTACACTAGGGAACAGTTAGGGAAATTTAGACAGTCTTCAAAACATGACAAACATGCACATTTAAGCATAATTATATTAACAATTATATTAACAATAAATATAGGCATCAGGTACTATGTTACAAGAAGATACTTTTGATGCTTGAAATGTAAACACATTCCACCCCCCCCCCCAAACAAAAATGAATACAAAATTGTAAACATGCATAATTACATATGGGGTATTGTTCTTTCATTCCTGCTATAGATTTCAAAAAAATACTTGCCAAGGCCAAATCAAAAAAGAGAAATATCAAACAGAAGTTTAGTCATTTTTTCTATTTAAATATCACTGTCCTTACATATCAAGTACTGTTATTATGACCCACTTTGTTGCAATGACTGGCACATTCTACCACCTACCTACTATGATTCTGCAGAGCAACACACCAACACATATGTAAGTAACTTACCTGTCCTAGATTAGATTCAGTTTGATTTAGCTTCTCTTCCCAGTTAATCTCTTCAGACTCTACACTACTCTGAAGTTTGTTTAGAATGGACTCCTGTGAATGAAAGGAAAGGAACCATATACCAGGTATTCATTAATTTATGCCGACAGCTGCCATGTTCATATGCTGTATAATAGGTAAGGACCGTCTCATTTCTAAAACCAAGACTGAAAATCAACACTCATAACTTTCTTTACATTATATGACTATACTATCAATTATGACATGGGACCAAAATTGTAGATTGATCATCAATTATTATCTTCAAGTTTGATTCAAATTCATAAATTTTTGAGGTAAATATACCTGGGCATGAAATTGTGATTCCATCTAGAGTGAACTATGAATTCAACTTTCAAGCAAGTGAGAGACAACACAGAACCCTTTGTTAATTCCAAAATTAAACAGAAAATTCCAAACATATGATTTTGGTTTTATTTCAGTAACTGAATTACTCAATACCGGTATGTATTCTCATAAATTTACTCTAGGAACATGTAGTGGAAATTCAATAGTCTAAAGGCACTAAATAAATTCTTTCAAGGCAAGAAATACGATTATCAATTAATCATGGCATCAATGAATGAAATGTTTTGCAAATGAATGGCTTATAAAAGAGTGATGATGAATAAAGCAATACGAGCCCAAATAGTTCATCTCTTCTAGCTTCAGTATTGGCAGCACCTTTCTCAACAGAGAGAATTTGCTTTCCAATTATATATGAATCATGATTTTCAGAAATGAAAAGGATGTGTTAAGGTGTGCAGAATCGTGACAACATTTTTGTTGGTACTAATTCATAAATAGTCAGGGATGTATTAAAGGGATATTGATATAAGATGTTAACCATACCCTCTGGTAGTAAGTATTTTCATCAAGGTACAAAGAATAAAATCAATAATCAAATATCAGCAATTATTTTCAATGTCATCGTATAAAGGCCTCTAAAATTTTGAGAGGGTACACATCAACTTTGCAGTAACTACAATAACCCTACCCAATATTTGTAGTTAGTATTTTCATGTGAGCACAATTAAGAACAATGTAAAGTAAGATAAACTGAAAACAAAATAACACAAAGCAAAATATGAACACACAAATCATATAAAAGAAAAATAAAGATAAAATCATAAAAAAATAAAATATAACGTAATGGAAAGAATATCAAATGCAACACAACATTTTCCAGACATTTATTTGTAAATAACAATAGCAATACACACACTGTATTTTATTAGTAATCGCAAAGATACATTATAATCTCCATACTATGAAACAGCATTCAGCAGGAAAATAACTTCCACCCTTTATTAGAGTAAATGCACATGACCATTACCGTCAATAGACCCGATATAAGATCATATAGTAAATATGGAGTCTGTTAGTCTTCTTTACTGCAATACTATATCACATCATACACTCACATACTTTGAAAATTACACCAATTCAAAAGAAAATTGTAAAAAACTGCAAAAAGTCACAAATGTTGAATTAGTGAATGAAATGGTAATGAACAGTGGATTAGCTCGGCCATGCCCCATTGCAATATGATGTCCATTGGCATAATTGATTTATGTCATAGTAGCTAGAGCATTTTAATAATGCTTTAATCAAATTCATCATGATGTTTAATGAATCGCAACCAGAAAATGTATAATTGAATTATTAAAGCAAAGAATATTGCACTGCAAAGCTTTGATCCATTATCCACTACCATTCTCTACTAACACCTTAAACGACTGCAATCTTCTTATATCCTATCAGGAGCTTTCTATTTTCCCCACAAACGAACAATAAAAAACAAAAAACAATTGAGATATCAAAGAGTGCATGTTGTCAATGATATAGCTTACTGTTTCTCTCAATACTACTTGGTAGTGATGGCACTGTGCTGTGAGTTGAACTTTCTCCTTCTCCATCTCTCCGATTCTATCTCTCAATCGAGCCTCCGCTGAATCTAGCCTCTCCTCTGCAGACTCTACCCTCCTTCCCAGCTCCTCGTTCTGATCCGATAACTCTTTGTTCTTCTTTTCTAATCTCTTCAATGCCTCCTGGCCTCCTCTTGAGACAGCAGCTCCTTGACCTTGGAGCTCTCTGGTGAGTTGCTCCTTCTCCGCCTCCAGGGCATGGATCCGACCCTCAAAGCGCTCCTCCTCGCTCTCCACACTCTGCTGGAGCTTGTTCACCATACCCTCCTGTAACAGCAACCAGTTCGACCAGTAGGAGCCCTTTGTTCCAACAATTTTTGTTTTTTGTGCGTTTTTGTTTTAAGGGTACGATGCAAGACAAGAACAAGACAAACCAACAAGGTAGGTAGACGGACAGAGACGTGCAGGGAGAATATTAGATAACAATTACATTATTATCAACAATAACTGGGTTAGATCACAACATGCAACAAAACAACACTATAAACTCAAATCTTATGGACTCTTTAAAATAAATAATATACCTAGAACAATGATGCTCAATAATTATGGGCTTTGTGTTCTTAGAAAAACATATCATTTAAAAATAAGAATTAACCTCTAAATTTGCAGTAACACTGATACCCTATACACAGAGACCCAACACATGGACTGAGGCACAACAATTCAGTTTCAAATCATCATAAATCTGCATCTTGAATTTGTTTTTCATTAGTCTTTTTAGTGAATGATGTGCATAACAAATTAATATACAGCAGTCTGAGGCATTTCACCCAATCCTCACAGTAATGAGCATTTGGTTCTCATCAGCCACCTGGATTTCATTGTGACAGCACCAAATTAATTTTACATTTCAAAGCAATTTGAAGTGAATGCAATATTCAAACAATGATAACATCAATAAAATAAAGGTCATGAAGGTATTTCAAACAGTGCAACAATAAACAATAACAAAAACTTTGATAAAATAAAAACACTTGATAAAAATACTAACAGTGCACACCATGCAGTCACATGTTTTTTTCTTCTTTAAAACATTTTCTTAAAACTATGAAAATAAATAGATGAAAAGCCTTGAATATTTTCTATTTTCTAGTCACAATCCTCTCAAAGGAAGGGAAACTTTAATTTCTTTTAATCTATTTTTTTCGTGGATAAAAAAAAAATTCTTAGCAAAAAAGGCAGGTTAGGCAAAGCAGTATGCATGAAAATATAAAAATCATAATAAAGTGTATAACAACAGAGCATCTGATTGTCTTATGCTGGTTCCAAGATTTCTTTTTTACTTTTCAATTTCAAGATAGAGCACGCAATCTTTATTTACTGGGAGCAAGCCAACAATTTCTTTACAAATTGAAATTACTCCTAGGAAGCATTACATTCAAAGAGTGTCTGATTGTTTAACGAAAAAGAGCAACAGTCTAACCAATACTTATCTGAATAAATTGTTCTAATTCCATTCTTAGCATTAGAAAGGAAATATTTCAAATAAAGCTATCAATAAGACAGCAAAATCAAAGGCAAATCAAAATTGTGTGAAGCAGTAAATTAATGACTACTACCTCAAAATAAACATTAACGTCTACATTTGAATGCACTTTCATGCTAAACTGAAATATCTTGGGGAAAATCATAACTAAACAAAATCATAGCAATGCAATACAAGACTTACATTGTAAAATTTGTGAACACTAATTTACACCAGCATTCTCTCTACAATACGAACATTTCCATGAACAAGGCAACAAATTAAAAATCGTACATAAAATGCAAGAAATACATGTTTCAATTTACATAATTATGAGCAATAATTTACAAAGAAGCTAGTACAGTCTACCATTTTTAGTTCGAAAGTAAAAAACATCCTTAACCAAATCTGTTGACTAACAGTGCTTACATTAAATATCAAAAATTCATATTGAACCAATTTTATATTTCTTTACTGTTGACTTAAAATACACTCTTATAAACAAACATGTTTTCCTAACATGTAAACAGATGAAGCGATCAAGGACTTGATGAGACAAAACAAATATTAAGCTAAAACATACATTATGATGCATTTTTGTTTAAATTTTGAACAAAGTAGAGAAAAACCCACTTATGACCTATGCTGGTGAGCACACATACGCACATTCATTAAATTCTGATTAAAATATAGAAAGGTAGATCTTGCCTTGTAAAATTTATCAGAAAGTAACTTCTTGCCTAAACAGCCAGTAGTTCTTAGAAACAAATAAACAAAATATTTTTAAAGCCCTTTTTCAAAGCTTAGCTGCAAAATAAAGAAACAAAAACAATTTTATTGCTTTATTTGAAGGAATATTTGAGGGATGGGAGAACTTACCGTATCTGCTAACACGGACTGGTAATGCTGGCATTGTGATGATAATTGTTCTTTCTCTGCCTCTAATGTATTCACCTTTAGTACATATTCCTCAACCTGAGTAGATACGACACAACAGGTAATGGATTTACATTTTTGAATAATTTTTTTTTTTTTTTTAAACATCATTCCCTGGTGTATTTATCAAAAGACATTCACCTCGACTAAATTGGGGCAAAACTAGATGTAATCATGTTTAAAATAATATTTAAAGAAAAAATATGTATGCATACAAAGCACTGACTGAATCAAATACATTACAATGAGTGACACATTTCATATGTTTTAAATACAATGATGTTAATAACCGATCTTTATCTTACCTGTGAATTTGAGGAAGATTTACTGCTAAGTACTTTGCTTGCGTCCTCTTCAAATTTGTTTAACCAGTTCTTGTTATCCTGGAATGGCAAGGGGGAGAAAAATGTTTTCATATTATTATTTTTTTTAAATGCATCAAACATTCTTTATCATATGGCCCTTTAAAATAATCATGAAGTGCCTCAAAAAAGTAAAAATATTTGAGCGACAGGTTTTACAATTCTCATTTGCCCCAATAGACTGTGTTGTTATAAAAAGTGTTTGGAAACGGTTTTTGAAATTTTGAATTCCAATTATAAATATCTTGATAGTCAGACAGGCGATCGGCTTGTTTAAGTCATGGGCTTCCTGACTGACCTAAAGGTTTATAATTATGATTGCAGCATGAGCTAAATTCAGGATTTTGTTTGGAATCTGAGGCAAAGATACCCAATCCCTTTAACTGCAGAGATTCCTTTAACTTCAAGACGGTTTGAAGAAAGCGTTGAATTTAAAAGGATGCCAAAAATATGTTTTTTCAATCGTCTTTTATGGAAGAAAAAACCATGGCATTTAAACTTAAACGTGCAAGATTTTATCATAAAATCATGGATCAACTTACCTGTGAGGTTCCTAAACTAACAGATGGGAATAACTTCTCTAGCACTGTCTTCACAGAACTCTGCTCTTTAACAATGGCAGCTTGAATCTCGTCCTGTATCAAATGAAAGAAGATTAAACATTGAAACCTTCAAATCCCATTATAACAGTGACAATTGAAATAGTTTTAGAGGATGGATTATGCCAGGTGGATTAGACCAGTTAGAATCAGAAGAGATTATTAGTAATCGAGCTGTGAAGTTAGGTGCAGCCTGTGATAGCAATGAATCAAAGCAAAAATTAAATACAAAAAATATAGGATAGCTGAAGAAAAGACTTCTAGGCATGTTATAAACCCCATACATTCTACTGAATTACATGTTCGAAGCCTTATTAAAAAAAAAAAAACATTAAAAAGGGATAATATACAAGTGGACCCAAAATACATTGTACCTCAATCTGACATTTTTATATATACCAAGGAAATTAGGAGTTCCAGTATGACGTGAATAAGTATTGTAGACAAAACGCTCAGAGAATTCCATCTCAATAGACATGATGCTTTGATATATATTTTAGATAGAGCAAATGGTTAGATATTCATACAAGAGTAGTAAGTAAAGAACTATCAAAATATAGTAAACATTCAGATAATCTTTGAAATATCACTTCTCATAAGATTCATTATAGTTGGTACCTTTTCTGAATGAAAATGTTTGATGGAAAAAAAATCAAATATAGATGGATATAAAATATACATGACAATAATATGATATATATATAAATTATACAATCGATTCTTCTTTTTCTTCTTTTTCTTCTTAGATCCAATTAGAAATAATCAGAATTTCTATAAAAAAAGAAAAGAAAACATGCATGCAACACAAATATTTTCAAGCATTCATGCTCAACACATCAAAATAACATCACTCATCACAACCTCAATCATGAAGCATTTCTACACTGATCTCATCTTTGTGTTTAGAAGTTAAAGGTACTATGTCCCTTTTGCAGCCAACCTCAAATTCTGTAGAACTTTGCAGGAATTATGAATATGTCATGTATGTCCTATCTGTGAAATTTAAACGTTAGCAGTGTCCTCATATTCAAATTATGCAAGGAAACCCGTTTACTTGCTAGACTTCACTGTCAGACACTATTGAGTGACTGACTGGCTTTTTTCTTCATTGGTAATAACATACATGAAAAGAGTTGTAAAGGGTACATGAGCATTCTTCTACATCATAACCCACTTCTTGTGATGGCCAAGATTAAACTGATTGAATCTTTGCGCAGCATAAAACGTATGACCATTCGGTACAATTGTCTGAAAATCAAGACTATTACTTTTGGGCTCTATAGCCCTCAAGTCGATTTGACAACTAATAGTCATTATTTTCCGACTTGAAGACATTTTCAAGCCCCATCTTTTTTAGGGAAGTTCTAAATTAGTATTATCTTTCAAATGCAGTTGGAATTTAACTTTTTCATTTTTTTGGCCTGCAAGTGGGACATAGTACCTTTAAGTATTGTTTCAAGTATAAAGATTAAATAACATTAATATTCTGCAAGAAGACAATTAAAAACTAATTAATATGATTTTAGTGTCATGAAACCAACTGCATGCAAAAATGATTGATGTCTATACATAAATATCAACTTCAGAATCTGAGACATGCTCCTTACGGTTCTTTATTTCAAAATTATCTTCTTGCGTTAACTATCAGGTAGGGTTCACTTAACACAGCTGCATATCATATCTCATCTCTAGCTTCTGCTTGTAATATTAGAATGCTTTTCAGTATAATATCACGATAGCTGGATATAATCTGTAAACACTACATGCACAAGTTGAATAAGTATTGAGTTTAGGAGAAAATACCCCACATAGTTCTACACTCCACATAGATTTGAAATGGCAAAACCTAGACTATATCGTTAGCTATGTCCCTCTGTCTATACTGGTATGTGCAAACCAAACATTTTGTTTAAATGCTCCATAATCAATAGGGAAAAGGGCTAAGGAATGTTACCAAAGAATGAAACAAATGAAAGAAGAAAAACACAAAACTAAGCTTTGAAAAGGCATTATTTATCTGCAAAGCATCAATTGCTGAGTAATCTCTAACACTAGATTTGTTTTTCTACATCCTAGATCAACAATTGTGTCAGATTCCAGATTCCATGCTAGATCGTTATTAAGGTGTTAAAGTGGGAAAAAAAACTGCAAACTAAGCCAAAGGAAGTGAAATTTCTATGCAATTTACTTTTTGCAGATGTTAAGCATGATAAAACAATGTTCCATAGTCAAGATGCTAACATGTTCATAAAGCATGACATTTAAAAGACACAATCAGAAAACATCAAAGAAAATGAATTCATAGATACATGTACACGTAGAACCGTCCCCCCCCCCCCCCCCCCAAAAAAAAAAAAAAAAAAAAAAAAGAAAAAAGAAGAAAAAAAAGTGCATCAAACAAGCAATAGAAACTGTGTATTTTAGTTTATATTGCAAGAAAACAAAAACAAATTTTTCATGCTAAATATATTTTGAAGAGTATATCAACAAACATTACATAGATACAAGGAGAATGCCACATACACATAATGATGATAAATGCTGGGTTACAATGATATTATGTAATAAAAGATCAAGAGGGGTAACATTGGGTGAAACGAGGGGTATCTTTTCCTAAAAGGATACTACTTCTTATATGCCATTTTCTGGCTGATAGTGGTACATTAAGGGCACATTCAGGTACAAATGCCACAGCTTTATAATGTACTGATGCAAATTTTCACAAACTGTAAAACCCAATATGAATAACAATGACATAGAGACAACCATGTGGATATCTGAACATGAAAGATTTGTAGTAGTACCTTTAATGTCTCAGATGTCTGTCCAGCATTTTCTGCCCTAGATTTCTCGGCTGCCGAAACCACGTCCATTAGTTTCCGATTTTTCTCCCGAAGGTTCTGGTTTGCACAGAAACAGTTCACAACATAATGTAACATAGAAAGAAGCTGCCCCAGCCCCACCCCAAACTGATGCAACTCATCTTAAAACACATCTTTGTTCTGCTTATATTTTGTGGGGATCTCCACTCACATACTTTATCTGAACTGGACCACAAAATGTGAAATGATGGAGGACGGAAAGGTAATAAATGAACTATTAATGTTGACGTCAGAATGATGATGGTTATTTTAAACACAACTACACTGTAAAATGAGAGTGCAAGTTGAAATATATTGAATGATGGATTTTCATGATAAGCAGAACTGATAAAAAAAGAAAGTCAAGTCAGATCATTTATATCACAGTAGCAGCACTATAAAGCACTACCAGAGATTTTTTTCAATCGACTATCGAGAAGTTTCCATGACCATCCTCAGGTTAAATATCACAACATCATCAATATACAAGGCTTAAGGCCTCTTTTGCATCAACACTCATACTTCAGTAGGAGAACACATACTAGGGTAGGATGACACTTGGGAGGGGTAAGATGACACTTGGGAGGGGTAAGATGACATTTGGGAGGGGGTAGAGTGAGCAGAGGGAAAGGTAACACAGGATTGTCAAAAGTCCTTGTTAATGAAGCATTGGTTTAGTTTAGCGAAAAGAAAACAGGTGTGGGTTATTAACAAACAAGATGTTATCCAGGAACAGTCAAGGTAAGGGTGGATGAGGTAATGGCAGATAACGAGAAAATTTTAATTGAATTCAGAAACCGTTTAAGTAGATGGTTTGCTGGTAATGTAGATACAAGTTCATAAATGGTAATTAAAGTTATTGTCAATCGGAGTACATGGGTATATAGAGTAACAATGTATCAAATATTCAAAAATCTAAAGCATATTCAAATTTTGGGTTAATCTTGAAAGCAAACAGCCCTGTAATCGACTCTTGAAAGATATCAGATGCACAAGTGCCCATGAAGCAATGGGAGAACATTCCTACTTCTACGATCAGGTTATTTTCTTTTGATTTCACAATTATAACATAAGTTCAAATGATTGCAGGGCACTACCTCAGAGCATGATTTATTGGCAGCATCTCAACAGGATTCAAGCATCATCATGAAGGGATCTTTATGAATTCACAGTCAATCTAAACTGATGTATAAATTCTACTACTCCCTGCTAAAGTGCTAAATGTACTTCACACTCATATTTTTTAAATTGAACTAAGGGTAGTATATTCTTGGCTGACTTGCCACAGGATTGCCATTGTATTTTCCTAAACACAAAATTCCATACCTGCCAACATTTGAAAATAAGAATTAGGAATTTCTAGCACGGTATGCCTTCAAAAATAAGAAATCGCACTTGCAGCGGCAGTGTAACTGGCAATACGCGGTAAATCTGTACCAAAAAGCGAATACAAATTCACTGCTCGATCATGCAGCCATTCAATGCACGCAATACGTGAACTCTCAAATTGCGGCATATGATAAAACGAGCTTTATTTGGCTTAAAAATCTTAATATTCAGAATTTCTGGGTCCTAAAAACCCAGAAAATCAGAATATTCTGGATTATTCGGAAGGGTTGGCAGGTATGACATTCTATAAGAACAATCCTGTAAATAACCCTTACACAATGGGATTGAATGAGGGATCTAGTCTATGACAGGAGATTAGAATGATATCAGTCAAGCAAACAAGACTAGACTGGAGTGGCTGGAGTTTGAGGTGCAAGGTCCATCATAAAGCAGGGGAGTGTTTCACAAAGACTAAGATAACTTTAAGTTGGACTTAACTATGGCAGGCTGTTCATGCCACTGGTTGCTTCACTATTGGTCTCTCAATTGTGATCTTTAGATAATAATTTTCCCTCAAATAATAAACTATCAACAAATGTAAATTCTGTAGATTTGTGACCACGATTTAAACGTCCCTTGAGAAACCAATGCCAAGAATGGATAGAGGAATTAGTGTCATGAACGGCCTGCCATAGTTAAGTCCAACTTAAAGTCGGTCTTAGTCTTTGTAAAACATTCCCCCGGAGTTGTGGTGCAAGGTCCATCCTAGAGCTCTACTTACATTATTTCTCTGCTTCGACTGCTCAATGACTGCCTGCAGTGTTGAGAGCTCTGTTTTACTGGAATTCAATTGCTCCTCTAATCCCTCTATTGCTTTCGTCTTATCAGCTAACCTGTGAGATGCACACATCAAAGATAAATAAAACAGTGATGGATATTTGATAAGAGTCAACTTGGTGTCATTAGTATTGTGTTCTCATGACAGATAGAACCAGTATCATTGAAGCGTTCACGAAGTATAATGGAACATGAAAGACAAACAAAGAATGCAGGGATAGTTACATGCTACAGGTAGACAAGTATGTCAGTAACTGTAAGGTTTCATCTTATCATATCAGATGAACCTAACACTCAACCTTTTAATCCCCAAGATACAGATCACTTCAACCATCATCTCATTCAACTTGGAATGTAAGAGAGTGCATCTTGTCAACAAAAAGTGTATGAAATTTCACATCTCTTTTTACATACCTCAAATACTTCCAGAACTTACCTATGTTAATTTATGATGAATAACAAGTTGCATCGTGTAAAACATAAGGACTTCTCTGTTTTAGTCATGTACACAAGAAGACAAATATTATGCTGTTTGGCAACTGATCATTGAGATTTTTCAACTTTAACGAACATCAAAAGATATTTCAGGCTTACGCTAGAAAGTCAAATATAATCAAGGCAGATGAAAATATCTCCAAAAATAGCATGGCTAACATAAAGGAGGACATGCAGGTTCTGCCTCTTGAGAGTTTATTTTCCACATAACAAGAGAAAGAAACAGAAAGGAATCTTTCCTTACATAACATTGTGCTCCTTGAGAAGGATGGAAGGCTCTTTGGGAGCAGAATCTGTTTGAGTGACATCGCCATTGGCAGTGGGCGGAGCCTCTTGACCTTCGGCTTCTGACCTCTTTTCTTGAGTCCTTAGCATTTCTTGGAGGGAATCTTTTTCCTTTCGGAGAGTCTAATGAGAGAAAGAAAGAAACATAGATAATCACATCTATTAATCATATATACAACAATGGTGTAGTCAGGGTTTATGTTTTGAAGTTGTACTTGAAAAAGACGGGGAAAGTCTCAGTGCACATTTCCATCGACAATTATAAAATCATGAAAGCAATCTTGAAACAGTCTTGCAGCACGCTAATCTCTAATTTTTTTTAATTTCAAAATAAAAATGTTACTCTTCTAGTCCTAGATGTCTCGGCCAACTTCAGAACTTTCAGCATACCCACAAACTTGACCTCTATTGCTTTTTGTTCAATCTATGGAAAATACATTAAAAAATAAGGTCACTGATAAAGTCTGACTGACTTTATGAAATTCTAGCATATTTTAACTCTAGAATACTTGATTCTTTTTTTCTTCCTTTATCAAAAGAGTCATTGATATCTTACCTCTACTTCTTGTACTGCCTTTGATTTCTGCTGTTCCTTCTCTGCTAGCTGGCTCTCGACAGTTCTTACTTTACCTTCTAGATTCTGACACTGACATTCTGAGTCCTGATATACAAAGAAGGCAGATATGGAAAGAGAAGTTTGAAAGATATTACATATACCTTCATTCTGATAGACATCCTTAATGCATATCAAGATTTTCTGTTCTCGTCTCTTGATCATAAGTGTCTAATGAAAATTACTGATGTTATTCACCACCATGTTTTTAAAGATAATTGTACAAATCCAAGTAAATTTATTAGAATACACGTCCATACCTTTAAGTTACAATAACCAATCTATACAAAAAGCATTTCTTTGCTCTTATTTTGTAAACAGTATACATGTACCTACTTCAAAATGATTAAAAAACAAATAAAAGAAACAATACATTCTTCTCAAAAATTGCATGATTTGTAACTAAGTTTCTGAGACTTTCAATGGTACTATCTCTCACAGGATTTACCTTCAATTTTGCTTGAATTGCCTGTAAGGTGGTGTTCCTATCTCCATCCAAACGACGTAGTTCTGAGACCTGTCCTTTGAAGTTGTCTGTCTCTCCCTTAGCAGCCTCCATGGCTTGAGCAAGGGATTGGTTACGAGCTTCCTCTTTCCTTAGTCCCTCACTGACTTCAGCCAATCTCTTAGACATAGCTGCCTCACCCTCGCGCTGTCAAGACATGAATGAAACAGTCACATAATTCATTCATCGTAAATTCACTGTAAATTAATTAATTCATTCATTTATTCAAAATTGCTTATGATGATTCACTTACTTTATTAACAATAATGTATATTTCATATATATTGTAATTTGTAGGTTTATTTGCATTTTCTTTTTGTTTTGTTTAATATGTAATTGTTTATCATTGTATTTTGTTTGTTATAGCGCTTAGAGACTTTGGTGGTAAGCACTTTATAAGCAACGTTTAAAAAAAAAATTATTACTGTGTACTTTCATGTCGAGAAAGCTACGTGCCTCCTGTTTACTCTTACAGGTTGTCAATACTGCTAACAGCCTGTGGTCTTCCTGATAATTATTATGGACAAAAGAATTTTGAAATGGCTTTAACTTCTTTCAACCACTAAAATGCCAAAGCATAATTTCTAAATGTCACTGTATTTTGTAATTCAACATCCTTATCATGCTGATCAACTATTTCAGGAATTACTAAAAATACAGTTTCCCATAAATTCCCATAAATCAACTGATGTTATAACATGTACTGTATATTTGATCTGTTTGACAACCCACTGGAGCACAATACATTTTAGTATCTAAAGTGAATCTTGAAATAACAAATTCAAATGTTTTTTTCTGATAAGACAGGTTGTAAAACATGTTCTTGATAAATAACGACGAAATCTCTTACAGCACTGTTTGGTACGTACCTGTTCACTACTCCTTTGTTGTTTGAACTGGTTATTCTGTGTTTCCAGTGTTCTACGGACCTCTTCTCCTTGTCTCAGCTGACCCTCTGTAGATGTGAGTTTACTCTGAACCTTCTGAAGCTCAGTCTGAAGACGGGCAAGCTCTTGACCCATCAGCTGCTCCTTCCTGCAAAACATCACATAATCAGAAAGCAAAGCAATTATTCATTCATTCATTCATTTTATTTCATGCGTCATATAAAAACATACATAATTATAACATTGGTATTTACAGTTAAGAACATGCAAATAACATAACGAAAGATAAACATAAAATACAAATATATATATATATATATATACGAATTAGGAAACAGGCAAGAAAGAACAATGAAGTCTGGTGCTGGTCCCTTGCGACATAATAAAGAATTTTAACCTATAACACTTACACCTGACAACTAACACCGAACACCTGATTGCATATATATACTATATATACAGCTAGAGCAATTAGAGCATACAACACTGCAATTCCAACTAAAATTTTGAATCCAATGTTAGTTGGATATTTTAGACATTTCTCCAATATTACAAAGTCTCTTGGAAAGAACTAATTTGTAGAAGCCTGTCAACAATCTTAAACGTTGATACATGTATGCCTATGCAGGAGTATGTCCAAAATATGGATTCTGGCTGGTTAAATTGTGTACTGTTTCAGATAACAATTTCATTATTATTGTCTATAATAAAACATTTAACAATAAAGACAAATACTCAATTGCAACAGCGATTTCAAATTTGCCCAAAATTCACTTATCTCTGAAAATACAAAATGTTTTTGATCAGATTTGTGAGCATTGCATATCTATTTTCAATTTTAATTTCCAAAGATGTTTAAATCCATGTCCACAAAACAAGTTTAATAGAAATGTTTTTATTTAAGTATCACTTTATTTTCTGAATAGGTAGTGTAATATAAACATAAATAAACCTACTCTTTCTTTGTTGATAAAAAGTGGCATTGTTTCCACTTAAAAACCTGATCATGCGGTTGATGCTCTAAGCTCAAGTGTAATATGATTCCTGTATGAAAAGCCACATCCTTAGTTAAATGTGATAACATACCCCTTTACATGGTATTGAGGATATGGGATTTGGAACATGACCAGCTTGGTATCAAATAGCAAATTATACGTTTAGCCACATAGCTCATTCGGTAGAGCAGTTCCCTCGTAGAGGACCTAAAGCCGTCGGCCGTCTGGTTGCTTACTTACAAGCAGTCAGGTAAAATAACCATCACATCACATCAATTATAAATTCCTTTCAAAAAGCATATCCCAAAAGCAAATTCTAGACTAAACTGAATAAGACAACAATTATTTAGACAACTCAACTTAAGCAGCGTTAAGAGGCAGATCAAGATTGCAAGCAATTTTATGCCTCAGTCACACCTTTGTGTATTTGGCTTGCATATTGCTGCATATTTATGGCAAGCCGTTTTAACATTTATTCCATTTTTCTTGATATCAAGAAATGATTTTCTGTTGTAAAGCAATGGTAGTTCTTGATATCAAGAAATAGGAATAAATGTTAAAACGGCTTGCAATAAATACGATACGCAGCAATACGCAAGCCAAATACACAAAGGTGTGACTAAGGCATAAGAGGCAGATCAAGACTGCAAGCAATGTAAGAGCATCATCTGTCACAACACAGATTTTCCTTGATGTCCTCACAGAATGATTGGATAACCCTACTTACTGTGAAGAAGCATGTCCTGCCTCTGTCTTGAGTCTGTTGTTCTCTTCCCTTAGCTGGTTGACCACGTCTACCTTGGATTCATCTAACATGGACTGGAGCTGCTTGATACGAGCCTGGAGGGCTTGGGTGTCATGGGTGTGGGACTCGTGGCTCTACAACATGAATGTTCACAGTGAGACTGGTTATCATATGGCCTTAGATTCATCTTACATATAAGTATAGTCAGACTTACTTTACTGACCACCTGTCTACAAAGACCACATTTTTTGTTTCCCTTGAAAATGGTTTCTCCATGAAACATGTACTAAAGGAACATGTCTACAAAGACTACTTTCTGTGTTTCCCTTGGGCGGTGGCTATATACATGGGACTGGATATAAACATTCATAGCTTTTCAAGAATGAATTTCTATATAGAGGGAGCAAGTAGCTATAAGTAGTGCAGTGGGGCTTTAATATTGATGTCAAAGAATTTTTATTGATTCCTAGAGAGGGTGCAGTGTCTTACCTGCTGCATACGGGCATGGAAAGCTTCAACCTCACGAGCTTGGCTCTCGAGCTTCATCTTATACTGTGCCTCTACACTGCCTGAATGTTCCTTCTGATGGTTCAACTCATGACGTAGTTCCTTCACCTTCTGGGAGGCAGCCTGGGCAAGTAGCATCTCTGAAACACAAATCAATCATTTATTACCCATCTTGATCATCACATATATACCTTTAATCAGATAAATCAAAAATATCATCTCACGAGCTAAAAATACAAAAACAGAATTTCTACAGCATGCTCTGAATGAACAATAGCCTTTCTTCCAAACAAGGAGAACATAAAAACACAGAAACAACCAACAAACCAACAAACCAACAACAAATAAAGGGGAAATTAAAATTTACTGCTAAAATATTTGATGACAAAGTAAATATTATTACCTAAATACAATCTGATCAGAACTGTAGTTTCTTGTGTCTCAAGACTCTAAATATATGTTTTGTAGTTCTGAATGCATGCATATCTTCTGGGTCTCTAATACATTAAAGGCATTCTCATATGTGCTTGATGGTGCCCCCCCCCCCCCCTCCAAAAAAAAAGAATCAAACAAACAAAAACAAACTTATGTCGCCGTAAACAGAAAATCTCTTTGAAAAACAAAGAAAAGAAAAGAGAACTGATCATTTGTATGAAGAACCGGCTACAGCTGCTTTTAGTTACTTGTGCATGAGACTACAGAGCTTAAAATGGTCAGCTACTAGATTGGAAAACTCATGATATGAAGAAGGTTGTTAGTAAGGAATGTCCATGGTAAAACATTTGTGTCTGCACCATCTTTCTTATTGATCTCACAAACACATTAGCACGAAGAACCAACCTCCAAACAAATAATGACCCGCTTGTTTACCATGAAATAAAATTCACTGAGCCATTGCAGTCACACTGCAATCAAAATACTCTTATTTCTTAAAGATAAGGCCAGCTTTCAGAATTATACAATAATTTATAACATCAAAGTGAATCAAGTAAAAAAGTAGGCAACAGTAACACATTTCAAGCCCATGATTACTGCCATATATTTTCATAAACTTATGACCCACAAAGCTCTCGTCATGCAGACAATAGGTACTAGTATTGATTTAGTCTTTATCTTTATAGATATTAAGGTTTCTCACCATTGTGAAGAGCCTGTTCTTTCTCCTGTAGCTGTTTCTTGAGAGCAGAAACGGGATCACTCCTCTGGTTAGCCTATAAAAAGATACAAATATATATAGAATAATTAAATACAAATACAAATAAAAAATCATAATGAGAAAGTGTAATGTCAAGCCAGAGGAATCTGAATGAGAATAATTTGTTTTTATAATGAACTTACTTGAAAATGTGTAATTTTCTTTGATTTGTATTCATTTACTCAAATAACCAAATGCCACAGCACACTGATATTCTCCTTATCTTCAAGAGGAACATGATCTTTTAACCTTTGTCTGGTCAATAGATAATTATAGCAGTCTTTTTATAGCGAGAATAGAGTTTATAGAGATAGAGCTTTCCATGAAATACAATATATTACTCAGCAGGCAGCAGAAGGTTGTCATGGTTACGCCCTATGATATGAACTACAATGTACTCAAACTCCCCTCACAAATCACTAACACTAACCTAACATACTTGTACCAGCAAATACATATTTTCAATCAAGGTAATCTCTATACAGAAATCCAATATCCCCTTGAGATGATTGTACCACTTGCTTGAAATCTGAGAAATAACAGCCCAGCCCAGCCCAGCCCAATAGGAGCTGACTACTGGGTTTAAGTTATGGTTATAAAACTGAATCAGAAAGTCAAGGATGTATTCCGCAATCTGAATTATTCATTGTATTTTGGTGTGAACATGAGAGCAGGCGTTACCAAGGTTGCGGTTATTTCATTGTTATAAAAATAACAATGTGGAGGCAAAGTTCTTTTCTATTCAAATTTTTCACACATAATCAGTGATCTAGTTAACATAATCCACCTCCCCTTGAAGTTCATGTATGTCACTGTCAGTTAACGCTTTCATTGTGTATGGTTGTACTCTTCATAATCCAGTCATGTTTCACTGATAGTGCATACCAAACTGTAAGGTCCACTTAGGGTGCATATGCCCCCCAAACCTGTTTTAGCATTGTGAAACCATTGTATTGTAAGATAAATGACTGTATTGCTGTAAAGCTGACAGAATATGTACAATGAGGCCAATGTAGAGGAGATGAGGGTGGGGGGGGGGGGGGGGGTAGAAGGGGAGGGGAGGGGGGGGGAGAGGAGGGGAAGGAGGAAAGGGGGTGGTGTAGAGAAGTGGGAGGTTACAAACCTTGACCCAGTCATCAGCTGATGCAGAACCTCCTTGACGGTTGAGGAGAATCTCGATCAGTTGTTGGATCTCAGCATCCTTCAAGGGGGCACTCTTGACTGCAGAGATCAGGGGCTTCCCACGTAGGGCTGGAGGCTCTGCAGCAAGCAAAGGAAGAGCAATAAATCATCTGTTAATACAGGCAATAACTACATATGAACCAGATTTATTCATACAATCATATAACTTCTCTTATGAACCATTGAATATTACAATGAATATTGTTTTATTTTTCCATTTGATAAAGGCCACTGTATCTCCAATATGCCTCTGCGGATATGCCTATAAATTAAAATAATTTTCAAATAAAATTTGTCACTATTAATATATTGTCACTAAACAGTCACACAAAAAGGGGGGGGGGTAGAGAAAAAACTCAGATCATATATTCCAGTCTGATGTTTGATCTCTACTTCCATTCCTGGATACATTGACTGACTACAAGGAAGTCGATTAAGCATATTGTTTACCTACGACTAGACAAAACAATGTATGCATCGTATCCTGGTTTTATTGTCAACTCCTCATGTTGACTTTAACCCTGAATTACAGACTACTGGAATTCATCTCATACATGTAGCTATATTAGAAATGTATAGCTACATGTGTGTTTGAAAAATAATTACCTTTTTTCTAATCTAATCTTATAGAAAATAAATCCACACAGAATCCAAGGAAACTTACACTGAATGTTCAAGATTGCAATTAAATTGCATGTGCCAAACAATTTTGGCAGAAAATGTATAGTGGCTGACTAGTGAGCATAGAAAGATAAGGAAATCTGGGTAAGTAGGCCTGACACAATGTGCTTAACACAGGTAACTTTATGCGCAAATGGAAGTTGTGGTTTTTATTGAAGATGATGCCCAGTAAGTACAACAATCGACACAATTCAGTGCAAATCCATCTTCAATCTATTGTGCTTTCTCTCCATCTCTCTCTCTTGTTTCCTCCCTATCTCTCTCTAAAATATACATAGAGGGAAATAGAAAAATAACTTGTTAATGTATACTATGATAAAATAAAATCATGTTTTACTTTGAATTACTTTAATCTTTGAAATGTTTTTTTTTTCATTTTTTGGAATACACTGTAGATAATCATGTACTCTATACACAATTCATTGGGAATACGCCTCCCTAAACAAAAAACTAAATTATTTTTCAAATGTAAGCCAGTAAGGAATCATTTCATCAATACACACAATTTAAGTGAACAGGAAACCTACACTCATAATGAAGTAAGTACGTAATCATGTTAAAAAGCAAATAACATGTACCCACCCGGTATTGCGAAAATTGTAGGGAAAACCCACTTTTCAACAACAACAGAAAGAGGATAAGGCGTGTCAATAATAATTGAATACCAATGTGTGATGACTTTAATGCTACATTAACTACATACAATGGAAGAATGGTTTAGCAAGACACAATGGGTGGTATTCTCGAAAGCGGCCTAAGTTAAACCTGGCCTAAGTTAAACCGTGGTTTAGTTAGGCCAGGCTTAACTTAGGCCGCTGACCTAAGTCATTTTCGTTTCTCGAAAGGTGGCCTAACTGATCCATGGTTTAAACCTGGCCTAACTTAGTCCATGGATTATTCACCATGGTTACAGTTTCTGCACATGCTCAGTATAAGCTGCGACGTCACAATGCACTAAGACAATGGGCTAAGACAATGGATGCGCGCAGTGTGGAGAGGATGCATCACCTCGACAACTTGAGCAATATGACGTCCAGGGGCGGCGGAGCGACTTCAAAAGCAGGGGGCAGCATCAACAAAAAGGGCACTTGCTGGAATTGTATCATTGTTAAAAGGGAAATTATCAGAGGTTAAAAGGGTCACATATCGCACCTGAAAAGGGGCATTGAACATATTTTAAAAGGGGCACTTATGAGAATGAAAAAGAGGCACTTAAAAAAAAGGAAATGTGCATTTGTTGAAAGAAAAGGGGCACCGATAATTTTGTTAATAGGGGCACCTCTCAAATTTAAATAGGGCAATTATCAGAGGTGAAGGGGCACTTCTCGTACCTGAAAAGGAGCACTTACTAGAGATTTAAAAGGGCACTGAAAACAATGGAAAATTGACACTTATTGCCAAGGAAAATGGAAACTTGTCAAAGGAAAAGGGGCGCATTTCAAAATTAAAGGGGCACTTATCAGAGGTGAAAAGGGGGAGGGGCACTTCTTACAAAGTTAAAAGGGCACTTACCTATATAAAAAGGGGCATTTGAAAAAGGGGGCACTGTACCCCCCCCCCCAACTCTTTCTCCCTATCTCCATCTCTCTCTCTCTCTCTCTCTCACACACACACACTATCTCACATCATTGTTTATTTCTCATTTTCATGACATCTCTCACCATTAAATTGTTCTTTCTCATTTGGTTCCCTTTCTCTTTTACTCTATCTCTCTCTCTCGCTGGCTCTCTGTTCTCTCACTGTTCTATTTCCAGACTTTTTCCATGTATAATTCAATGAACCCAACAGTATGCACACTTAAAATCAAAAGATATGAAAGGAATATTGTATATAACATATCAACAATTATGTTCAATTTATTTATTTTTCTTAAAACAGAAAAGATTGTAATTCACGATGAATACGATTATAAAATTGAAGGTCAAATATTAAGCTCCAATAGCCTCATAATCTGCTACTTGAAATTATTAGAATTCAAAGTTATGTATTTGTTACATTACTTTTTCCCATTTTTTAAAAACAACAGCATAGTCTACTTTTGAGCCGTCTTTCTTTTGCAGGGAATCTGTTATATCATGACTTGCACTATATTATAAAACACATTATAAAACATGATTTCTTAAATGACTCAAAAATCACAATTTTTCCAGTGAAACAATAATAATAATTACAGTGCTTATATAGCTCCTAACACTTACTTTGTCAGAAGTCTCTAAGCGCTCTACAATAATGCAGCATAATTACCCTGGCTTTAGCAGTGCAGCTGTTACAATGAACATCTGATGTACATAAAAACATCCTTATGAGTGATGGTTGCTTTGGGGTTCACACACACAACAAGGACATATCAGGCTTTTTATCAATGGTTGCTTGTTTGTTACCATAGCTTCATGTTATGAGGATCATAATACAAAGGTTTTGATCCCCATGCAGTCACAGTTACAGCAGATAGAGTCTGGTTCATTGAAGAGGCTAAGTAGAACTTCATAGTCCTTGCAAGTATGGCTGTTGAATAAAAAGAGGAAAAAAATGAAAGGAAGCACATTGAAACCTATTTCTGTTAAACATTAAAAAGGTCTTGCATGTACATTGTGACCAAAGTAGACTTACATGCACATTGTGGTAAAAGTGGAGTGCATAATCAATTACTTGAAAGTATTGATGGGAAAATGTGAATGAACAAATGCCCTCCTTGAAGTACCTGGGCATACAAACAACAACTTATTCGTACAGCCTACCTGTCTGAAACTCAGCAGCTCAGTAGTTCTCCTTCCTCTCTCTGAATTTGTCTCAATTATCAGGGAATTTGCCTTCATTTATTTTACTGAAGAAGAACATCATCCTGAAACAAAAATAAAAATGTTTAGACCTCATTAAAATATCAAAGATCTACTCCATTGATAATTGGTCTTAGTTATAGTGTCAATCATATTCTAACTTTAAAAAAAAAATTAAGGCGCCTTTCATGTAGGCAGTGACTAGGCACCCCCTCCCCACTCAGTTACTAATAATCATTGATTTACAGAATGACTACCGGTATCTCTTTTAAAGTCAAGAACAAACATACACATTCTTGCAGTACTATCTCATAAATGTGCTTGCACCAAGTTGTACTTGCCATGTCATGGCCTAAGAAAGCCCTAAGTAGTTAAAGTCTATAGCCAAGTTAGTCCCTTTCCTAAAATCAAGTCTAGAGGATTTTCTTTCGAAAACTTTTCATTAAAAGAATGGTGTTTTTTAGTGACATCCTCACAGAACGGGGCAATTTAAAGCAACAAGGTGACATGAAAAGGTTATTTGAACTAGATGCAAATGATTACTTTAGGATACAGGGAGTGTACTCTTCGTTATCAAAGATAAATATTCCTAAAATAGTTTATACAAATCCATTCAAAAATGATATTACTTCCAATATTATTTTACCCCCCGAGTTGATATGCTTGAACAGAATAAAAAGCAAACAATTTTATGATCTGTTGATCGCAGAGAAATATGAATGCCCAGTCAGTACGTTTAGACTAAAGAATAGATATGATGTTTCAGATACAGAATTGTTATTGGCTCGTTCAGGTATCATTTCAACTACAATTGATGTAATTTACAGAGAATTTCAGTTTAAGGTATTAAATAATATTCTGAATTTGAATTATAAACTGTATAAAATGAAAGTCATTAGTTCCCCATTATGTTCTTTTTGTGACATGGAAAATGAAACGATTGAACATTTTTTTTGGAAATGTACAATAGTACAAGATTTTTGGAATCAGCTCGGAAAAGAGCTGACTATGTTTGATTTCTCGATTTTAACCGAAAAAACGGTAATTCTTGGTATATTGTCGAAGAATTATATTCTTTTTAATCATATATTAATAATTGCAAAGAAAACAATTTACCTAAATAGATGTAAATTAGTTAAACCAAATATTTCTAACTTCATGTCCTTATTGATTAAATCATATAAAATGGAGAAATACATTGCTATACGCAATGACAAAGAAGCTGCCCATGACAGCAGGTGGCAGGGCATGGCCCAATGGATATCTACTGTCAGATAAGAAAGATTTTTTGTTGTTGTTGATAGGTTAATAAGCTGTAACGTTCAATGTATTATGTAATCAAATGTTCATTTTCACTGGTGTGTGAATAATTTGTCAAATCAATGTGCTGTGAAGTGACCACAAAATAAAAAAGACAATTTCAATACAAAAAAAAAAAAAAGTCTAGAGGTCTACATCTTACTTAGATAACCAACCGACAGTTGGCCTAACCTAGATGTAAACGCAGCCTGGGTTGTAGATTTTACAAGGCCCTAATCGTTAGAGCCCAACTTTTCCATTTTAGTTCAATCTAACATTAGACCAAAGATTGTCTTATTGTTTATGTTATCTCCCAAAATG